ACGTTGACGTGCGGTCGAGCGGCCAATGAGGAGTCTAGGTATTTATTATGTCTATGGTCGGCACCCCACGCAGCCCCTGTACGACTCTCCATTGGAAATGAATGACTTCCGGTCCAACGGCTGTCGTTTGTCGTGTGCAGTAGAAAGGCGGCTTTAAAGGGATCCCTGGACTTGTATGGCTTAATATAACGTAAATTACGTCTCTTCCTGAAATACGTAGTAGAAGACCCGTTAAAGATTTATGTTATTTTATGATTAGCGTCGGCATGTTTACAGGATGACATAGCGTTTCTCAGCCGTTTGTAAGCTCTTTCAGTAGCTGTGGTCTACGAAAAGACTCAAAGGCATCAGGACTAAAGTGGAGTGAAAAAGAAGCAGGTCTTTAGGAAGTTTTATTCGTCCACAGGCATCTTCCCATTCTTTTCTCCTCTTCTTGTGAAGTCTTGCATTGCTTCTCTTGTTGCCCTTCGACTGAAAATTACAACCAAAAGTCACACAATGTGATATCGTATCAGTATTTTATTTTCTGAGTTGTGTATTCTGAGTTGTGTTGCGGTAAAAAGCCAAAGACTATAGAAATAAGCGCCAGTAGCTCACCGAGTGCAGCCATTTGACGTCATCGACGCAGAATGTACTGTGCACATAAAATAATGGCGCCCCCCATAGTCCAAAAACCATGTCGATTTTTTAAAATAACATACATCTTTCATGGGGTTTCTACTATATATTTAAATAAGAGACATCATTTACGTTATATTAAGCTATACATGTCTTAATACCCGGGGATCCCTTTAAGGGAAGTTCGCAAGTGCGTGTCTAAAAGTGAACTGGAACGCAGCCATGAGCTGCTGGTCTCATTGGTGTCTGAACACAAAGGGCTTTATGATCTCGAAATCTCGAAAAGAGGGAGTTGTTATGGAGAAGAATTGCAGATAAAATAGGATTTGATGTGTACCGGGGTATTTCTGTTTTTCACTAAGCACCATCTAATGTCAGGGAGTGAATTTGCACGTTCACTCGGCACATCGCCAGCGAAAATCGTTTGGGTATGAACACAAAAGACGCGTCGAAAAACGTCGGCGATAAGCGCGCGCGATAATCGTCCCGGTGTGTACGAGGCTTAAGTTACCCGTTTTGTTTGACTCCTTCTTATTGATGCTTATCTCGTTTTTTGCGACCACAGAAATGTTTTCATATTTTTTTTCATTACTTCACGAACCGCCCTCTTTACACCGAGAATCTGTGCGTTCATTTTTTCCGTTATTTCCTCCCACTGTTTTTGTTTTTTTTTGACAGATGTTACATTGGGATTCAGTTTGCTTTTTAAAATAGCTTTTCTCTTCCCATATTCACACAGAAGGATACATTTTCCCTGCTCTGTCCAATTTGGCTTTTCTTTTTCTTTTGTCCTTTTTTGTTTTCTTTATCCATCTTTTATGTATCTTTTCTTTATCCGTTGTTCGCGTGAAATAAGTTTATATATACTGTAGCATATGGAAACAATATAATTTCATAATGGCAAAAACCTGGGTCGCTGTTGTAAAATACTTAACGGTTTCCCTTATGCAACACTCTTAAGTCATTCCCTTAGGTAAGGGGAAATCATCTCATACTTAATGGAAAAACTTAAGGTGGCCCACCCCCTGGCTGTATGTGTATTTGGTACATATTATTTTTTTGTTTGTGTTTTATGTTTTCATGTGCATTATTGTAGTCATAACTGTACTTTGACTGTGTTTATTTATTACTTAACCTCCTGAGACCCTGCATCCTCATATGAGGACATTATATTTGAGTGAATTTCTCTGAGACTATACATGCCACAGAGCACATTCAGGGCTTTTCAGAGATACTAAATCTTTGGATGTTTCACCATGACCACTCTCCTTGGTCTTCAAAAATGTCTGATATTAATTTAGTGACACTCTTATGGAAATATGATATTTTGTAATTATCATTTAAATCTGACTAATTTTTAAACTGTGTGTCATAAATCAACATCTCAGGAAAATGTTATGGGGTTTCAAATCAAAATATGACTTTCTGTTACGAAACAGGAGGTTGATTTCATACATGTGCTCATTTGAGGACACCGGGACTAAAAGCATGTTTATTACGCATTTTGGGAGACACAACAAATGAATAGGGAAAGAAATTATATTTCAATATTCCTCTGAAATATTATTATGAAAATCTTGTCAATTATTACTCCATTATTACAATTCTTTTTTCATTACATGTTGCCCCAAAAACACATTAATATGCAAATTACATTTAGTTTATAGATACATTATATATACTGAGAAAACCTGTTTATGGCCATTTTACACACGTTTTGCATAAAGAAAAATGGTATATCAAATCATTCTGTTATAACAGTTGAGAATTACCTTTATACAAAGTTTGGTAAAAAAAACAAAAAATCCTGAAAACTAAAAATGTATTGGTGATTTAAAAAAAAAAATCTATTGTTTTAGCCTATGCATATTTATTCATGTCTTTTTATTTATTTTTTTTTTAAATTGAGTCCCGATGTCCTCTACCAAGGACGTAGCATAACTTATCATGAAATATAATTTTGAATAATAAAAAAAATGTTATGCTCTAAACAATGTAATGACATGAAAAAATACAATAAAAATTCCTAAAATGTTTTGCCGGGTCTTAATAGGTTAAAACTGGAATATAATCTAATTTCAGTCACTTAGGCTATGTATCTCATTAACATCACGCACCGTTTAAGACTCTATTTTCAAAATGACAAATTGAATTATTCCAACTGCTGTAAGAAGAGGCTATGGTCCGCCAGCTGCCGGGACTCCTTCTTTATGTTTACAGACGTGACTTAATGAAGCAAAGATGAACGATTTATTTTTTAAATTGAGTCCCGATGTCCTCTACCAAGGACGTAGCATAACTTATCATGAAATATAATTTTGAATAATAAAAAAAATGTTATGCTCTAAACAATGTAATGACATGAAAAAATACAAATTTTTCCTAAAATGTTTTGCCGGGTCTCAAGAGGTTAAGGTGCTTTATTTTGGTCCAGCGAAATGACGTCATAAGGCTGCGCCGCGCTCCTGTGTCTGTGATTCGACTGATGGAAGGTTAGTGCTTTTAAGCATTGAAAGTGTTTAAATAGATGCGTACCTTTCAGATAAAATTATAGTTTTTTTTACAAGAACTGAAAACGAATTGTTTATTGTTGAATGTAATATTTTAATTTTTTATCTAACAATAACGAACATTATTTTTGTGAGCAAAGTGCATCCACACATGAGAAACAGAAAAGGTGCGTCTCATTTCGCTACCTGTATCATGAATGCGGGCACTGGCAAATACCGATGGGGGAAACGGACCCTTTCGAGTCAACTAAACAAATTGCTTCCCAAATCTATTCACTTGTTGTGTCCGTTGGTCGTATATTTGAAGCTGCCTCGTTTCAGTAAAGATCATCGAAGCGCTCAAAACACGGCACGCTGACGACATCTGCTGTTAAAAATGGTGTAATTGCAACAAGAACAAAGGTCCATGTACTTTTGCGTTTATTCAAGTCCTTACTGCCGTGTGTGCAAGAGAAATGTGGTCACTATACTGCCCAGCGACGCGGTCGGAAATGCATCGTTTTCAGTGAGAAACCTTTCATGTCAAACCTCCCCTGTTATAGGCTAGAGCTTAGTGCAACCCAACTCCTGCACCTAAACAATTTCTTAATATAAAGCAATATAAAACATAATATTGAACCACAAGCAATAACTTAAAGGGGTCATATGATGCGATTTCAATTTTTCCTTTCTCTTTGGAGTGTTACAAGCTCTTGGTGCATAAAGAAGATCTGTAAAGTTGCAAAGACTAAAGTCTCAAATCCAAAGAGATATTCTTTATAAAAGTTCAGAGTCAGCCACACCTACCTAAAACGCCTCGTTCTAACGCGCCCCCACATGTCTACGTCACTGTGTGGGAAGATTTGCATAACGCCGCCCAAATGTTGACGCAAAGAAAGAAGGCGTAACTTTTTATTCTTGCTGTAGTATTGTTGACGCTGCAGCCATGTCCTGAAGACGCTGTGTGCTTCGTTGTGAAAGCGAAACTACTTTGTTTGGTCTTCCAAAAGAGGACACGACTACAAATCAGTGGTATTTACAACACTGTTCCAGAACAGTTTAACCCAAATAATCCAGATGTGTGCAGCGCATTTTATGGAGGCCTGTTTACGGATCCTGGGAGGGTAACGTTAGACTAAAATGCCGGCAGTTCTGACTCACGTAAGTACGTTTTCATTTAAAGGATTTGCCACTGATGATTCAAACGCGAGTTTTGGGCAGTAGAGTAGCACTTGTTGTTTGTCATTTCTCTGATTACAAATGCAGACAGAGTTTTATGTTTACGCGGCGCAATGCAATGCAACGCAACGCAACGCGTAAAAAGACAGTATAAGTCATTATAATCAGTAATTATGTCCCCACTGGATGCAACAAATGCCTTGTTTGTAATGGGTTTTAATGTTTTTGTCTCGTCGCTCCGGCCGGGACACGGCATCAACAGTATGTGAGGGGCGTAACATTTCCATCTCACGCTTGAGGTATTCGGCCAATCACAACGCATTAGATAGCTGGCCAATCACAGCACACCTCGCTTATCAGACCGATGAGCTTTGTAAAAATCGACGCGTTTCAGAAAGGCGGGGCATAGAGGAGAAACAATAATGTGGAAAATAATGTGTTTTTTTTTTTACTTTAAACCGCATAAACACATTTCATTACACCAAATACACAAAATAATGTTCTTTTTAGCAGCATCATGATATGACCCCTTTAAAGCACAATATAGAAATAGAGACATTTATACATTTGAAGTCATTCCATTCACCCTAA